TATTTTTTGGTTCGACAGGTGAGTAGGATATTTAAATCCAAAGGCTACCTTTCTATTCTGATACTTTTTGCGGTAGCAACCTTCTTCACCATAAATTTGACTTTACTAGTTAGTAGTCATTTATGTTAGTTGATTAAAGTTAACACATCTTTCGTTTTTATTTTAAGCAGTGCGAAAAAAAGAAAATTAGAAAAAATGGGACAGGCCGACTCACGGCCTTTACAAGCAATGGTTGACAATAGCAATTGTAACTCTAGAATTTATTTGTAACGTCAAATGTGTTTCTGATAAAATTCAAGAAAATGGTTGTTCGACTATCATAGTTATTTAATATTTTTGGCCATTACTTGTTAATAGTTACCGAAGAAGAAATCAAAAGACTTTACAAAAGATTTATGAAGCTTGATAAAGATAGTTCAGGCTCCATTGACCGAGAAGAATTCCTTTCGATTCCACAGATTGCAAATAATCCATTGGCATCAAGGATGATTGCTATATTTGATGAGGATGGTGGTGGTGATGTAGATTTTGAAGAATTTATTTCTGGATTGAGTGCCTTTAGTGCGAAAGGAAATAAAGTCGAAAAATTGCGTTGTGAGTATTGAATAATAATCATTTTATTTTTGCTTTATTTCTATTAATTTTTTCCTATGAACATAATCAATTTGTATAGTCGCTTTCAAAGTCTATGATATGGACAGAGATGGCTATATTTCGAATGGAGAATTGTTCCTTGTCCTAAAAATGATGGTTGGAAATAACCTCAAGGACAACCAGCTTCAACAAATTGTTGATAAGACAATCATGGAAGCTGATAAAGACATGGATGGAAAAATTTCTTTCGAAGAATTTTGTTCAATAGTAGAAGCTACCGATATTTCAAAGAGTTTAACTTTGACAGAATTTTAGCCTTTAGTTATGGGTTTTATAAAATTGTGCACCAGTACAACGATGCACCCTAATAATCACATGATCGATTTACGTGATTGTTATTTCATTATTCGATTCATTATTCGATTGTTACGTTTTGGATAAAGAATTTTGCTCTATGAAATTTTGGTTCTTCCCTTATTTAATCGAATCAGAAAACGTATTTATTACATATATGTTATAAATGATCCTTATTCTATCTTACTTTAATGTAGTGTTCTAAATATTCTAAAATACAATGCCATATATATTACTAAAGAAAAGAGTGAATGTGTCACACTATGATACAAATTAGAATTATTAATAGGAAATGTAGCTAAATGTAAGATAAATATGTATTTTATTTCCTAGCTATAATAATAAATAATTATTTGAATATTGGTGGCCTATTTTGTTTATTACGTTGTAATCTTAAACATAGCCAATCTATTGCTTCACGCACACCTTCCCTAACAATAACAATAAAAAATGAAAAATAAAATGAAAAAAATAATAAAAAATAAAACAATAAAAAATAAATAAAATAATAAAAAAGCGTAAATAAGAATTATAGATCAATATTTACCCTTCTAAAGCCGATATTGGTAATACTCTAGAATCTCTTGCTCCTAATTTTAGTGCAATTTTATTGAAAATTTCTTTAATTTCTTCAACTTTCAAGGAATTTGGTAAATCTTGCTTATTTGCTAACATCAATACTGGGACTCCTTCAACTTCTTCATTTGTAATTATTTTTTCTATTGTCATACAATCGCAATTAAAAAAAAAAAAAAAAAAAAAAAAAAAAAAAGGATAAATAAATAGATTTTGAATATAAATCGAATTATTTGTATAGTGCTTTTAGACCAACACACCAAAAATTTCTTTACATTCTTCGATTCGCTCTTTATCAGTTGAATCAACAACAAATATAATGGCATGACATTCAGAATAGTATTTTTCCCAAATACCCTGTAATTCACGCTGTCCTCCCAAATCCCAAAAATTTAATCGTGATCTGTTTACATCGATTTTTCCGACTTTAAATGAAAGAGTTGGTTATACATGGGCCTTACGATCTGAAAATCCTCAATGCAAAAAAAAGGTTAAACATACTGTTTAAACCTACTGTTGGTGCAATCCTATCGGGCGAAAGACCCATAACTCCAAGAAATATGGACTTGATACGCTCTAAAAGTGTCTACAATAAATTTAATCGTTAAATCAACATTTCCACTTTTCCGTAAGCAAAATAAGTCAAATAGTATACTAATAATAACTAATCATTTAGTTATTTACCGTTTTACCGGCATTATCAAGTCCAAGTATGACAATATAAAATTCCTCTCTACGCGTAAGATATTTGTGAAAGCCACTCAATAAGGTATACATGATAGAAGATAAAGTTTACTGGTTAAGGTCTATCCACTTTATTCGTTATTATCGTTATGTATTGTAAATTTAATTACCCAATCCAATTCCTCCATTCAATTGGACATTTATTGTACGTACAGTACAATACTTCTGTATATACTTAAAAATTAAGTTTAATTTTGGTAACGTTAATCACAATGGCTTAGCGAAAGTTATTTATAGACTTTCATATGATTGGAATTAAATAAGATGCGTCGTCGATAACCAAATTTGTGTTATATATATATCAAGGGTAATGGATTATTTTAGGCTTTAACGTTAAATTTAACAGATTTTTCTAATGTTAGTTTCACTATTTCCAAATAAGATCGAAGTATGATCATGATAAATTAGTGAATCCTTTATTTTAATGGCATCTTATGTGCCGACCTTATCATTCAGAATTGTGACCCAAACTTACAGTCTGGGATTGGGAAGAATCCCAAATTTATGTTTACTAGGTTTCGCAAGCTGCCTCTAATTTGCCGTAAATGCCAAACACATTTAAGAGGTAAAGGGTATAAAAAATAGCAAATTTAATAGTAGAAATTGTCGAAAGTTAATATAGAGTGGAGTGCAGTTAGCTTACAATGAATGTTTTTTTTATACCTAACAAATATTATAGAGCAAGCTATTCCGGTCTAATAGTGTTAGAATTATTAAACTTGGTTTTGTAGATCATGATTTTTACATATTGCCAGCATATAAAATAGTAATTCTCCGCCGATTTTTATTATGAAATTTATACTACGTACGTATTCAACTGCGATCTACCATTTAATTATATTACGGCTAACTCTTAGAACCTACTTAATGGTTATGGATTTCGGTAGTTTTGTCTTTGTTGGTGACGTAAACCGGTCAGATCATAACTTATTAGCAAAAAATTATCTGGTCACTAATGCATTTCGCCAATAAGGACTCTGAAAGTATTATTTTCAGTGTATTTATTAAAAGTGCATTTATCAGCGAAAACTTGGATTGAATGATTTAGCGTCTCATATTCAATAAGATGGGACTTAATAAGATTGAAAATAAAAGATAAATCTCAGACTTTTTTATTTAATAGGGCTTACTGCTTTTATACTTCATGATTCAAGTAATTCATTGATCAATCAACCGAATTAATCAACCATGTGTGAGATCGATTTTTACTAATATATAGTTGTTAATAGAGTACTATTATAAAACATAAATCACCCCAGTTTTAAACTGGAGTGGTTAGATATAGTTTAGAGTACTTCATTAACAATCCTAAGAGTTTGGCTTTTCTAAGGACTATCAGGCAAACTTAAAAAGGTTTATTAATTACGATTTAAATTTTATTTTAGATGTTAAAAAAAATTTTTTTTTTTTCATTTATTGTACACATATTCAATATAACCATTAGGTCTACTGTAACATATCACTATATTCAATAGATCCTGCATAGTTGCTAAATTCTTAAATTCTTAATTTGAAAATAAAAATAACAATGTTTTAATAATTTATAGCATTGGTTTAACAAATTTTATTGGTTTTGAATTTTACACTATTGAGAATGGACGTATATTTTAGATTTTGGTTGTTATTCCAAATGAAGTAGAATCCCAATTCCAAACCCAAATTATGTAGAAATGTCATGATTTAAAAAAAGGTTTGGGTCGCAACCCTACTATCATTCCTTTGACTTTCATCAGGTGATGAGTCTTCGTCTTCAACATCGTTATTAAATAAATTTGTAGTCGTTGTATCTGTCGTTGAACTTTCGGAAGAAGTGATATTAGAATTTTCATCTTGCGAGCTACCAGTCTGCTCCCTTTCGTCTCTTTCCCTCCGTTCCCTTTCTTGTTCTAGAAGACTTAATCGAATTGCTTCCATAACCATTAGCTCTTCCAGATCAGTACCCATTCTCATGGCTGCCAGATACCCTCCATACTCGGCAGCTGCTGCAGTGGGAGGATTATTACGTCTAGGCGGAGTAGTTGAAGAAGTTACAAAGGTAGTATTATTTCCACCTTGTGGGCGAACTACAATGCGCCGTGTACTTGAAGATGTCGCGGGAGTTGGTCGTCTCGCACCAGGCGGTTGACGTAGTGGTTGTTGAAGTACGCGAGCTGCCCAATCTGGTCGTATTTGATCTTTAATTTGATCAATTATGTAAAAAAGTGGCAAATATTGTAAATTTATTTTTTATTTTATTTTATTTTTTTATCCTTTCTTTTTTTTTTTATTTTTATTATGATTATTAATTTTCGATGTTAGTAAAAACAGCAAAAATAGCAAATAAATAAATAAAATTGTTTCTAGCAATTAGAATATGACTTCTTTTATTTAAAAAAAGTGTTATCCTGAAACCAATCATATGAATAACAATTGAATTATAAAACATTAAATTACCAGTGGTAACAACATCAGTTTCTTTATGGCTTATGCTTTTTCGCCGCGCTTTACCGTCTGCTACACTGGGCGAAGATGATGGTGATGTAGATGGTGGAATATTTGGATTTGGAATCGCAACGGGCTAAAAAATGTATTAACATTTATTAAATCTATAATAGGAAGCTTCTGCATCGATTAATGGAAAAAAAAGTGGTGCATATCTACCATATTTTCACTGCCAATCCCAGCACTAAAAGGTGGAGGCTTGTAATAGACACCAAAATTTGGTTCTACACAATAAGGACATACAGCAGAAGAATTGTTGGCTCCTAAAGTACCAGATTCTGGTCGTTTTATTTGAACGAAACATTCGGTACAAATCGGCTGATCACAGCATCGAGAATAATTGATGTTTCGTGGATAATACTATATCAATTAATATTATTTTAAGCAAATGTAAAAAGAAAATTGAGCAAATTTAGAAATATCATAGGAACAGACTTTGAAATGTAAGAATAAAATCTGCCCCCATTTCGTTTTAATTCCGTAGTTTAATTGACAAAAATATCTTTCGTAATTCACGCGAGATCCTAATCAATTGTGCTTTCCAATGAACCGCATAAATGCATTTCAATAATTTTGTAATGGACCGATCTTTAATTTCGTTGACTATCTTTTGCTTAATTAGAAAAATATTTCTAATAATCACTCACCAAAAAGCAGATTGGACATTCAACGGCACCTTTATATAATTGAGATTCTAACGGTTTTACCGGGGATGTTTCTTTGCCTTTAGTTGTTCCTGTTGCGTTTAATGATGCTCGTTTTATTTCTCTACTTCCTTGTGATTGACATTCCCCACTAAATGTGGCATTTTTCTTACCCTCACCAGCTTTTGGAAGATTATGAGTTGTTAATGTAACCTCGTCCCAACTTTCGTCATAGTCTGACAACCCTTTATAAAAAGGGGCCAGCTTGCGTTCTATAATGAATTTGCGGACACTCCTATAGTCCCAATCTTGAGGTACTTTGTATACACCATTCGGGACTAATTGCCCTCCGTCCACAGTTTCTTCCCCCTTATCTTTACCGATCTTTAATTTCGTTGACTATCTTTTGCTTAATTAGAAAAATATTTCTAATAATCACTCACCAAAAAGCAGAT